GTTAGAGGTTGAACCCAGGCTTTCCCAGCATATGCTCATAAGTACAAGCTCTCCTGAGCCACAGAACCACACTTTCTCTCCCATCCAAGCACTAACCAGGCCCGACCCTGCCTAGCTTACAAGATCAGGTGTGTTCAGGGTGGTTGGCCATAGACCCATTCCCCATCTTAATCGTTTTATTTTGGTTGTATTTTTAAAATTGTCGGTATTTATTTAGCAGTACTGGGGATTGAACCCAGGGCCTCATGTACATGCATTCTATCACTGAGATACATTCCCCAGCCCTGGTGGTGATTTTTTTGAGACAGGGTCTCAATATATAGTTGAGACTGGCTTTCAACTTGATGACAGGATGTGCTGGATAGCTTTAGTGTCAACTTGACACACCTGGGTTGAGGGAGCCTCAATTGGGGAATTACCCCTATTGGACTGGCCTGTGGCCATGTCTGTGAGGCATCTTCTTGATTATTGAGTGATGTGGGAGGGTCCAGCCCACTATGGGTGGTACCACTGTGGGTGGGCAGGTGGGCCTGCGTTGTACAGAAAGTAGGCTGAGCATGGGTCAGGGGAGCAAGCCAGTAAGCAGCATTCTTCCGTGGCCTGTGCTCCAGCTCCTGCCTCCAGGTTTCTGCCCTGAGTTCCTACCTTGGGCTCCCTGATGAACTGTGACTCGGGATATGTAAACTGAATAAACCCTTTCCTCCCCAAGTTGGAATTGGTCAGAGTATTTTGTTACAGCAATGGAGAGACAAACTAGAACACAGGATGACCTAAAACTTAGTATCTTCTTGCCTCCTCCTGAGTGCTGGGACTATAGGTGTGCACTATCATGACTGGCACCTGACTTAACTATTTAAAATGCATCGTGCCCTGTGTCTAGAATTCATCATTCACTCTGGATCCATGCCCACAGAATAGTACTTCTCCTCTTCTCCCATCAGCCCCTCTCTGTCTCTGAACTTGGTTCCTTCGGGAGTCATAAGCAGAATCACGCAGTGTCTGCCTTTTTGTGGGGCTTGTTTTACTTGACATGAGGTCCTCAAGGTTCATTTAGGTTGTAGCCTGTGTCAGAATTTCTTTTCTTCCTATGTATGAGACATGGCTGTAACTTTCCACTATGTATATGTGACTGTAACTCGTCATTGTGTACATACACAATGTGAAAATGAGTAAAATTCTGGGGAATTAATAAGAATGAAAACTACAAAACACTGCAGAAAGAATTAAAAAGACAAAAATACATAGAAAGACATCCTGCGTTTATGGATTGGAAGACTTATTTTGATAAAAGGTCATTGCTGCCTAAAGTGGTCTACAGATGGAGTTCATTCCCCATCAAAATCCCAACAGTGTTTTTATTGCTGACAGTGTGTGTGAAGATAGGGTTTTGCCCTGTTGCTGAGGTTGGCCTTGATCTCATGATCCTCCCTTACTCATCCTCCTAAGCAGCTGGGGTTATAAGATGTATCCAGCTCTCTCTTTTCATAAGGACCCTTTTAGACTACTGATGTTTCATTTAATTATAATGTAGAAGGTCTAAGGAGATGACTCAGTTAAGTTCTTGCCACACAAGCATGAGGATCTGAGCTTGATCCTCAGCTCCATGTAAAAACCCATGTGTGGTGGAGCGTGCTTGTAATCTCAGTACTGGGGAGGTGGTGTTAGACAGATCCTGGGACTCACTGGTCAGCCAGCCTAGCTTACTTTGTGAGCCCAGGTCCCACTGAGAGATCCTGTCTCAAAACAACAAGGCAAATGGTTCCTGAGGAATGACATCTGATTGACCTCTGGCCTCTACATGGATGCACATACATGTGCACCTGCAACTCCCCCTCAACACATCTGTACTATATACATAGCACAACATTGGATTTTTAAAATTTATTTTATTTATTTATTTATTTATTTATTTATTTATTGGTCTTTTTGAGACAGGGTCTCCCTGTAGCCCCAGCTGTCCTGGAACTATGTAGACCAGGCTGGCCTTGAACTCACAGAGATCCGCCTGCCTCTGCCTCCCGAGTGCTGGGATTAAAGGTGTGCGCCACCACGCCTGGTGGATTTTTTTAATTTAAAATATTTTATTATTTTTTTAAAATTTTATGTGTATGAGTGTATTGCCTGCATGAAGGTAAGTGCAGCTCCATTGTGCAGTGCCTGCAGAGGTCAGAGAGGACATCAGATTCCCTGGAGCTGGAGTTACAGATAGTTGTTAGCTACCATGTGATGGTGCTTGGATTCAAACCCTGCTCTTCTGCAAGAGCAACTAGTGTTCTTAACCGCTGAGCCATCTCTCCAGCCCCCAACATTGGATTTTCTTTCTTCTTCTTCTTCTCTATTAATTAGATATACATTTAAAAATATTTTATTTTTATTTTACGTGTATGAGTGTAATTGCCTGCATATATATGTGTACCCATGTTGTACAATGCCCACAAAGACCAGAAGAGGGTGTCGGATCCCCTGGAATTGGAGTTACAGGTGGTTATTAGCTGCCATGTAGGTTCTGGGAACTGAACCCAGGTCCTCTGCAAGAGCAGCTGGGGCTCTTCACCATCTCTCCAGCCCTCTAGATATAAATTTTTAAAAAATTACCTCATTTCCTCTGGAGGTTAAGAAATGCTGCTCTGACATAAGAAGCCCTAATAACTCATAATTTTAAACCTCCAGGATCATGCAAAGACCTGGGCACTCTTGAGTGCTTAGCTCCACTTCTCCCTTCTCTGTTCATGTGGTGGATGCTTTCGTTTGTGTGTATTTTATACTCACAGAGCTGGTGGCGTTTATATTGCCTGTTCTGATCTAGAGTTGCCCTGTGTTTGCCCCTTTCTCACCCCCTTGTAGCTGCAGGTTTCTATCTGGGACAACTTTGTTTCTGGTCTGTTTTTTTTTTTTTTCTGTCTTTTTGAGACAGGGTCTCCCTGTAGCCCCCACCTGGCCCAGAACTCACTATGTAGACCAGGCTGGCCTTGACTTCACAGAGATCCGCCTCCCTCTGTCTCCGGAGTGCTGGGATTAAAGGCGTGCGCCACCACATCTTGCTCACCTTCATTTTTAAGCCCCTCTGGACCTTTTGTTATTGTGGTTACAAGCACATAGCTTAGAATTTATCATTTCAGCCTTGTTAGATTTACAATCATAAAACATGGACAACCTGCATTAGCCATTTGTGCTGGATAGCTTTGGTGTCAAGTTGACACACAGTTGAACAGTTATGTTGAAAGAGTTGTGGACGATAGAGGCCTGGCTTGTGAAGCTTCAAAGGGAAGCAGAGACTTTCAGGGCTGTTCTTGTGAGATTTTTGAATTGAGAATCTGGGTTCTGGTTGGCTGGGGCTGAAGAATCAGCTGTGAGTAAGAGAGCAGAACCTGAAGTAAAACCTTTGCTTTACTGGGACAATTGATGCTGGTTAGCTGGGGCTGAAAAATCAGCTGTAAGTAACAAGAGACCAGCATCACTGTAGTGAAGCCTTCTGGGAGGTATTTCCTCAGGGTCAGCACACAGAGCACCTGAGCCTCTGTCTCAAGCTGGAAGCAGGACTTGGTAATGTGTAAGAGTCTCCTGCATGGTTTTGGTGTTGAAAGTGTGAAGGGGTCACAGAGAGCAGCTGAGGCCTGGCACCCTGAGAGGCCAGGAAAGGCCATAGGTGAAAGTGCAGCTTCAGTTGCAGTGAAGACCCCAGGATTGAAGGGGTCATGGAGAGAATCTGAGGCATTGCACCTGGAGAGGCTAGAAGAAGCCATTGGTGAAGGTGCAGCCTCAGTTTCAGTGGAGACCCCAGCTTTTTGGAGATGCTGGGACCATGGGACGACCACCAAGGGCAGCAGTAGGTGTGGAATGGAGCTGGCCTGGGTCTGCGAGATGAGCTGTGTGTGCTGTGAACGGCAGAATCAGAGAAGTGGAGCTGACAGAACCCTTTGGAGTCTAGAAGATCGTGAGTGAATCCCATATGTCCAGCCTTGAGCTACTTTGCTGGACTTTGATTTTGCTTAGGTGTGCCCGATTCTTCCCTTTGAAATAAGACAGTACTTGTTTCGGATTTTACCGAAGCCCACAGTTAAGAGACTTTTAAAAGAGACTTCGGACTTTTAAGTGTTTGGATTTTTTTAAAGGACTGTGGGGGCTTTTAAGGTTGTACTGTCTTATGTTGTGATATTAATGTTAACATATCTTGGGGACAAGAATTGGAAAGGTTATGATTTAACAGTGATGTGTTTATGTGTCAAGTTGACAAGGGGTCAGTTGTGCTGGATAGCTTTGGTGTCAACTTGACACACCTGGGTTGAGGGAGCCTCAATTAAGGAATTGCTGTCATTGGACTGGCCTCCTTCCTGTGGCCATGTCCATGGGGCACCTTCTTGATTGTTGAGTGATGTGGGAGGGTCCAGCCCACTCTGGATGGTGCTATCCCTGGGCAGGTGGGCCTGTGTGGCATAAGAAAGCAGGTTGAGCATGGGCCAGGGGAACAAGCCAGTAAGCAGCATTCTTCCATGGCCTGTGCTCCAGCTCCTGCCTCCAGGTTCCTGTCCTGAGTTCCTACCTTAGGCTCCCTAATGAGCTGTGACCTGTGATATGTAAGCTAAATAAACCCTTTCCTCCCAAGTTGGTATTGGTCAGAGTGTTTTGTCACAGCAATGAAGAAACAAACTAGGATACCATTTCATGAAGTGGCCAGCACTGTGGTGACCTCTGTGCCTTGTGTATATGGGGGGGGTCACACAGTGTTTGTCCTTCCATGTTGTTTTACTTGGTTTGGCGTGATGGGGTGGCTCATCTATGCGTAGTGTGCTCAGTACAATTCAGCCATATTGTTCACTGCTGCTGTGGTTTTGTTGACACTTGGCTCATACATGTTGTTGCATGTTTGACATTCCCAGCAAAGTTCCTGAGATGTTTTCTCCCCTGCCAGGGTGTGCTACGGCTTCTGTTACAAACTGTGTTTGTGTACAGGAAGGTAGCACATCCTCTCTTGTCACTCATTTGTTTTCTTGTTCTACTAGGACTCTGGTTAGGAGTCGAATGGGACAACCCTGAGAGAGGAAAGCATGACGGGAGCCATGAAGGGACAGTGTATTTCAAATGCCGGTAAGTTTTCCTCATGAGTCAGTGTGCTTAGTCATTGACTAGGAGGGCTGGAGAGGAAGAAGTACTGTCTGGCTGTGGGTGGTCACACGAAGGGCCTGGGGCATTCCAAAAGGCACTGCATCATTTGCAATTTAACCACTGCTGTTGTGGCGTGTCATCATTTTTATTTAAAATACTTATTTTTATTTTATGTGTGTGAGTGTTTTGCCTGCTTGTGTGTATGTGCATCATAGATGTGCAGCGCTGGTAGAGTATGTGCATCATGGTTGTATAGCACTTAGTAGAGTATGTGCATCATGGACGTGCAGTGCTGGTGGAGTGTGTGCTTCGTGGACGTGCAGTGCTGGTGGAGTGTGTGCTTCGTGGACGTGCACTGCTGGTGGAGTGTGTGCTTCATGGACGTGCAGTGCTGGTGGAGTATGTTCTTCATGGACGTGCTGCTGGTGGAGTGTGTGCTTCATGGATGTGCAGTGCTGGTGGAGTATGTTCTTCATGGATGTGCAGTGCTGGTGGAGTATGTTCTTCATGGACGTGCAGTGCTGGTGGAGTGTGTGCTTCATGGATGTGCAGTGCTGGTGGAGTATGTTCTTCATGGATGTGCAGTGCTGGTGGAGTATGTTCTTCATGGATGTGCAGTGCTGGTGGAGTGTGTGCTTCATGGATGTGCAGTGCTGGTGGAGTATGTTCTTCATGGATGTGCAGTGCTGGTGGAGTATGTTCTTCATGGATGTGCAGTGCTGGTGGAGTGTGTGCTTCATGGATGTGCAGTGCTGGTGGAGTATGTTCTTCATGGATGTGCAGTGCTGGTGGAGTATGTTCTTCATGGATGTGCAGTGCTGGTGGAGTGTGTGCTTCATGGATGTGCAGTGCTGGTGGAGTATGTTCTTCATGGATGTGCAGTGCTGGTGGAGTATGTTCTTCATGGATGTGCAGTGCTGGTGGAGTGTGTGCTTCATGGATGTGCAGTGCTGGTGGAGTATGTTCTTCATGGATGTGCAGTGCTGGTGGAGTATGTTCTTCATGGATGTGCAGTGCTGGTGGAGTGTGTGCTTCATGGATGTGCAGTGCTGGTGGAGTATGTTCTTCATGGATGTGCAGTGCTGGTGGAGTATGTTCTTCATGGATGTGCAGTGCTGGTGGAGTGTGTGCTTCATGGATGTGCAGTGCTGGTGGAGTATGTTCTTCATGGATGTGCAGTGCTGGTGGAGTATGTTCTTCATGGATGTGCAGTGCTGGTGGAGTGTGTGCTTCATGGATGTGCAGTGCTGGTGGAGTATGTTCTTCATGGATGTGCAGTGCTGGTGGAGTATGTTCTTCATGGATGTGCAGTGCTGGTGGAGTGTGTGCTTCATGGATGTGCAGTGCTGGTGGAGTATGTTCTTCATGGATGTGCAGTGCTGGTGGAGTATGTTCTTCATGGATGTGCAGTGCTGGTGGAGTGTGTGCTTCATGGATGTGCAGTGCTGGTGGAGTATGTTCTTCATGGATGTGCAGTGCTGGTGGAGTATGTTCTTCATGGATGTGCAGTGCTGGTGGAGTATGTTCTTCATGGATGTGCAGTGCTGGTGGAGTATGTTCTTCATGGATGTGCAGTGCTGGTGGAGTATGTTCTTCATGGATGTGCAGTGCTGGTGGAGTATGTTCTTCATGGATGTGCAGTGCTGGTGGAGTATGTTCTTCATGGATGTGCAGTGCTGGTGGAGTATGTTCTTCATGGATGTGCAGTGCTGGTGGAGTATGTTCTTCATGGATGTGCAGTGCTGGTGGAGTATGTTCTTCATGGATGTGCAGTGCTGGTGGAGTATGTTCTTCATGGATGTGCAGTGCTGGTGGAGTATGTGCATCATGGATGTGCACTGCTGGTAGAGGCTAAAAAGGCATCAGATCCTCTGGAACTGAAGCAGGTTCTGAGCTTCCATGTGGATGCTGGGAACCAAACCTAGGTCCTCTGTAAGAACAGTTTGTGCTTGTACCTCAGCCATCTCTCCAGCCCCCAGAGTTTCATCATTTAAAAAAAATTCTGACTTTTAACCTTTCAAATAGGTTTGCTTTCATTGTCTTTTTTCGCTCTTTTGATGGTTGTTGATTTAAAAAAAAAAAGAATTTTATTTTGTGTATGTGCAAGTGTGAGTGCATGCCAGGGAGGTCAGAGGGTGACTTGCAAGAGTTGGATCTTTCCTTATACCATATGGGTCCTGGGAATCCAGTTCAGCTTGTCTGTCTTAGCAGCAGGACCTGAGCTCACTGAGACATTTTGATGGCCCAAGTTTAAGTTGTAGGAGTGTACACTTTCCTTAGTGATTCACTGCTATTCAAAAATCATTAAGTGAATAATGTAAAAGAGAAATAGTGCAGACATCTAATAAGAAGGAATTAATTGATCTGAGTAGGGCAGTGCTGAGCCACCATTTAAAAAGATGTCCTAGGGGCTGGAGAGATGGCTCAGCCGTTAAGAGCACTAACTGCTCTTGCAGAGGACCAGGGTTTGATTTCCCAGCACTCACATGGTGGCTAACAACCATCTGTAACTTCAGTTCTGGGGAATCCGATGCCTTCTTCTGACCTCCGGGACCATTACATGCACTTAGACACATGCAGGCAATACACTCATACACATAAAATAAAAATAATAAAATATTAAAAAAATAAAGATGTCCTAGAATAGTATTGTCTTGTCTATCCTAATACAACTGCCTGGGTGTCAGAAACTGCGCAAAGCTCTACAGAGACAGTGCTGGGGCTTGTGGGCGGAGCCTGTCTTTCAGTTCTTTGCAGTTTGTTTTCCTTAGCTTTCTGTGTCTCATAAAGTTCTCTCATATTAAACTGCTTTTTTCCTTAAATATGGTGCAATGGGTGAACACAGTACTGACCAGGAAATCAGGAGGCCTGTCTGCTTAACATGTGTGTGTGTGTGTCCATACATGTGTGCATAGGTGCTGGGAATGGAACCCAGAGTCTTGTGCATGTTAGGCATGTGGTCTACTGTTGGCCGCACCCCAGACTGCCCTCAACAACTTCATGGTCTTCCACCAATATCAGATTTACTGCTGTCTAAGATGAAGGTCAGAATTAGATAATAGCAAATGTTTCCAGGTCACCATTTCTATACTTCAGAAAATCAGGATGTAAAGAATTTCCCTCCCCCACCAGTTTCCTCCCTCCCTCCCTTCCTCCCTCCCTCCTTCCTTCCTTCCCCCTTCCCTCCCTCTCTTCCTCCCTCCCTCCTTTCCTTCCTTTCCCTCCCTCTCTCCCTCCCTCTTTCCTTCCTTCCTTCCTTCCTTCCTTCCTTCCTTCCTTCGCTTATTTGCCACAATGAACATATGGAGGTCATAGGACAACCTACAAGAGTCAGTTCTCTACTTCTACCATGTGAGTCCTGGGGATCAAGCTCAGGTCATCAGCCTTGGTGACAAGAGCCTTTACCTGCTGAGCCATCTTACCAACCCTGGAGTAAATTTCTGAAAGTTAAGGCAAGATTGTTTTCTTCCCCCCCCCTCCCTCCCTCCTTCCTTCCATCCCTCCCTCCCTCCTTCCCTCCTTCCTTCCTCTTTCCTTCCTTCCTTCCTTCCTTCCCTCCTTCCTTCTTTCTCCTCTTTTTGCATTTTTCTTTCCTTCAAAGATTTTTATTTTTAATTATGTATATATGTGTCTGTCTGTCTGAGTGTAGGTATGTCTCTGTGTGCAGGTTCCTCCAGAAGACAGTTATTTTGATCCCCCTGAATCTGGAGTTAAATGGTGGTTGTGAACTGCCTGATGTGCGTGCTGGAACTTGAAGTTTGGTCCTCTGCAAGAGCAATACTCAATCTTAATCTTTGAGCCATCTCTCCAGCCCCAACTGTTTTTCTTTTAAGAAATTCTTTGGAGTATTTTTGTTTGTATATTTGTTTTATTTATTTATTTATTTAATTTATTTATTTATATTTTATGTGGATGAGTGTTTTGCCTGTGTATGTATAAGAGCACCTGTATTAGGCAATGCCCAAGGAAGAGGGTCAGATCCTCTGGAACTGAAGTTAGGAATGGTTATTAACCACCATGTGAGTGCTGGAAACTGAGCCCAGGTCCTCTGTAAGAGCAGCTAGTGAGTGCTTTTAATCCGACTAAACCATCTCTCCAGTCCCTATTTGTTTGATTTTTGACAGGATCTCTGCAGCCAGGCTGGCCTTGAACTGTTCCTCCTCCCTCTGCCTCCTAAGTGCTTGGATTATTGCTGTGTGCCATCATGCCTGGCTTAGAGTCTTTTATATTTCAGTTTTACTTGGGTTGCCATAGTAAGATACAGTATCAGTCTGAAAATTATTTTGCTTCAGTAAATGTTTTTATTTTATTTTTAAAAATACTTGTTTTTATGTGTATGAGTGTTTTGTCTGCGTGTGTGTCATGCAGTGTCTGTGGAGGTCAGAAGAGGGTGTCAGATCCCTATTATGATGGTTGTTAGCAGCCATGTAGGTGCTGGGAACCGAACCTGGACCCTCTGCAAGAGCAACCAGTACTCTTAACCGCTGAGCCATCTCTCCAACTCTGAAGTAAACATTTTTAAATGTTTAGATGCTATTTTAGTGAGGCCAATTCGATGTAAAATTGTCATATCATAAATTTTGTTATTTGTGGCAAAGTGGTGTATCTGCCCTATAATAGCAGACCACAAACCTAGGAGCCCCTCTCCATAATTTTTTTTTGAAAGCAAAGATAGAATTTATTAAGTAAAGGCTTTACATGGGGTGAGATGGCTCTCTGTGGCCAGCTTCTATGGGGTCTTCTGGGAGGAGTTGATGAGATAGATGCTGCTCATCTTCAACCTGGTTTTATGGCTGTGCATCAACTTCCCCTATTTCTATATCGAGGTTGCCAAGATGCTCAGGGTGTGCCTTCAGGTTCATACTGAGATGCACTGAAGGCTGTCCCCTGTCTCACTGCATCAGAGTACACAGTGCACCTGCTTGGCAGCTTTGGACAGGTCAGGAGGAAGTGTCTGGACAAACTGTCATGTAGCCTTAAGAGAAGGAGCCAGAAGGGGGCCCTGATCTTCAGCTGCACCTTCCTGAACAGAGCAGCCTGTAGTAGATACAGGTAGAAATCACATGACTCAGTGGCATCCTTGGAAATGAACAGTAATCTAAATGAAGCTCATTGAGCTGACCTAGGTGACAAAGTGCTTCCACATCTAAAAGAATCAGTGGGAAGAGATTCTGTACTGGTAGCAGCCTACACAAGACTATGGGGCTGTTCTTTGTTCTTGTGGAAGAGCTGCTGGCTGGGGTGTTCAGTGGCATCAGGGAAGCTCTGAGGAGTAAGTGGTCAGGAAGAAGGCCCAGAGCCACAGACAGCCACAGAGGACAGTACTCCAAAGGAGAGCCCTAGGTGTCAGGATAGCTAGGCCAGCCTAAAGTGTGGGGATGGGATTCTTTAGTGTTGAACCGCCACCTGCTTTCCCCAAGGAGCGAGGTGCATGTTCTTATCTGTCCTAGCTGGGGTATACAGATCATGAAGTTCTCCTAAAAGGTGAGACAAGATGTGTGTCCCTTGATCATTTAAAGCCCATGTTTTCAGAGCAAACAGTAGAATACAAGAAAACTCTTTAAGTGTAAAAGTACTTCCGACAGTTTGCAGGTAGTCCTTTGGTACTGGCCTTCAACTTTTCAGATTAGCAAACCTATGAAGTCATAGTCAAGGGACAAGCAGACAGTAAAATACATTAATTTTAAATTTTTTTTGCATTGTTGGCCTGTATTGCAACCACTCAATTCCTGCTCTGATTTCTGTGGCCTGACAAACCTCTCTGGTTGATATGGAAAGAAATTTTCTAATACATTTTAAATTGTGCTTGAAAGGGGGCTGGAGAGATGGCACAGCACTGACTGTGGACCCGTTTGTTTTCCAGGACCTACATGGTGGTTGCATCAGCAACTCCAGTTCTGGGGATCTGATGCCCTCTTTTGGCCTCCACGGGCATTGGACACATGTGGTACATTTACGTATATGCAGGTGAAACACTCATATACATAAAATTTAAAAAATTTTTTAATTGGAAAAATACTCCAAACTGGGAAAACCCTTTTGGGAGGTGGTTATTTTATTCAGTATCAGATCAGATAAGATACAATGGTGGCTATGTGGTTACTAAATAAATAATTTTTAAAAAAAGATACAATGGTGGAATGCAGATGGCTGTTCTAAAAGGCTGCCGTCCTGGCTGTGTCTGTCTCAGTGAATCTCTGGTCAGCTGATGGACGTGGGTCTCTGTAAAGTCTACCCAATACTCTCAACCACTGAGCCATCTTTCCAACCCAGAAGATATTTTTGAAAGTAGTAAATACAGGAGGCAGAGAGGCAGGTAATCTGAGTTCAAAGCCAGTCTGATCTACATAGCAAGTTCCAGGCCAGCTAGGGCTACATACCTCTGTCTCAGAAACAGAAAGAAAAAAAAAGGTAAACAGGCTAAAAACAAAAAAGTAGTAAATAAATTCTGCTGCACTGACAAAGCAAATTTGTGACTCGACATATACTAATTGCTGGGCATGGTGACATGTGCCTGCAGTCTTACCTACGCTGGAGACTTTAAACAGGACTCTGGGAATTCAAAGGTCCTTAATGAGACCCTGTGGATGTAGATCAATGGTTGAATGTTTGCCTAACACATGCAGGGTCCTGAATTCCATCTCCAGTAAAACATACACACACACACACACACTCTTAAATAAAATAGTTTTTAAAGTTTATGTAATGTGCATTTCTCCCCCCCATTCTTTTTTTCTTACATTTTTGCAATTTATGTACAGTACAGTTTGATGGTATTTAGACCTCTCCCTATTTGCATCTTTGCATCTCCCCCAACTGTCCCCCTTGCCCAATTTAATGTACTCATATATGCAATACGGCCATAATCGGTGTTTCTTGACTAAGAGACATTGAACAATAAGATCCACCACTGTACATAATGCTCTAAACTAGGAAGTGCAGGTGAGAGTGAGCAGTTCTTGAAATGGCCAAGAAGCGTAAAGTGATAAAAAGCATCTGTGTGTTCAAGATGTTTTGTTGTCAGGGATATGATGAAAAGGGTTGATTCGGGCTTAGTGGGAATAAGCCTGTCCCTCTCCGAGATCTAGTTCAGTTAGCTATGACAGCCACCCCACAACTTGGGATCTGAGCAGGACTCAGTGGAGACACTTGTCTCTGCTCCGTGGTGTTGCTGGAGGAGCCGTGTTCTTAGGCCTTTGGGGCATGGTGCTGGCCTGGGGCCTTGGGTCTCCTGGACATGAATGGGTAGGGTTTGTCGTGTTTCTCTTCAGGGCCTTCCTTCATGGGTTCTAGCCTGAGCATCTTTACATAGTGTCTGGCTTCTGGGAGTGAGAATGAAAGGTGCAGGTCAGAGTATGTTCCAGGACATTCCACGCCTCAGACTCTTGTCTTGCTTATGGGAGCAGGTGGCAAAGGTACACTGTCATGGCCTTAGGCTGGTGGCTGTCTAAGGAAACACGTGACTCCAGGCACTTTTGGGTCCCAGCAATCCACATTCCTTTCCCATGCAAATCCACTTGCCCCTGTCTTCTAGAGCTTTACCCCTTTCTCCAGTGCTCCAAGTCCAGGGGATTGTTATCCAAAAGGTCTAAGCCTTCCCTCCCTCCCTCCTCCCTTCTCCCACCCTCCTTCCTTCCTTTTCTTCTTTTTCTTTTGTGAGACAGGATCTCCCTGTAGCCCCAGCTGGCCTGGAACTCCCTATGTAGACCAGGCTCTGCCCACCTCTACCTCTGGAGTGCTGGGATCAAAGGCATGGGCCACCACATTTAACATTTCTTTCTTTTTCTAGGCACCCAACTGGAGGCTCCTTTGTTCGTCCAAACAAGGTAAATTTTGGAGTGGACTTTGTTACTGCACTTAAGAAGCGTTATGCTCTGGAAGAGGAAGCAGATGAGGATGGGAAAGCGTGCTCTTTAAAAGTTGGATGTAAACAAGTACAAACTGTTGGTTTTGAGCATATTACGAAGAAGCAGAGGTAAGCAGGGCTGATGTTGCCAGTGTCCACGTGCAGTGTCATCCAGGTTGGGTTGAACTTCTCGACTGCATGGACATGCTTGTGATGTGGCTACCACATTGGTTCATCTGTTAACACAGGACTGAAATCTGGGAATGCAAGCACTGATTATTCAGGAAAACTAAAGACCTTTTATTAGGCTGTAGTGGTGGCTCACAGCAGTAACCCTTGGGAGGTGAAGCTAGGAGGATCAGGAGTTAAAGGCCAGCTTGGGTACATGAGACCCTCTCTCTTCAACAAAACAAAAAAACCCCAAAACCCCTATCTTCCCTTCCAAAAAAGTGTTGGTCTGGAAACCAAGCCTAGGAGCCTGCACACCAGAGCATCCTTTTGAAACTGCTCACCTGGACAAACTTGGAATCTGAAAGGAAAGCGAGTGTTCACACATGCACGCAGGCACACGCGCACACACACAAAGTCTCTGCTCATCAGGAACCTGCCAGGTCCTACGAACTCACTGAGTGGTGAGTGGCCTAGATGAAGTGTCTCATGAATGAAGGAATTAAGTGTGGTTCCACTTCTTTGTCATCCTCTGTTGCATTATTAGGATTTGACAGGATTAAAGTGCACATCAGGGCAGAGTAGAAGAATAAATTCATTCTCCTTTCTGATCTCTCTGATTCCAAGTTTGTCCAAGTGAGCAGTTTCAGGGAAAGGACACTCTGGTGTACAGACTCCTAGGCAATTATTTCTCATTAATTAATTTATTCTTTACCATAGGTGGCCCTCATTAAAACTCAAAACAAGCTGGGCTGCTGGCACAGTCCTGTAATCCCAGCTACTGGATAGGTTGAGGTATGCAGATTGCAAGTTCAAGGCCAAGGCTCAGGGTGGGGTTGGGGGTGGGCTACTGGGTGAGTTTGAGGTCAACCTGAGCAATGTGGCGAGACTCTGTCAGCATTAAAAATAAAAACAGTAAAGAAATAAAGAGGTCCAGGGGCATAAGTTAGTGGCAGTCTTGCCTGTCGTGTTCCAGGCCTAAGTGGAATCGCCAGTGCTAATAAATAGTCTCAGAAAAAATGAAAAAGTTAAAACCAACTTGGCTGGTTTTTAATTATACATTTACTGTTGAGAATTTAGAAAATGTAGCTTGAGGGGGCTGGAGAGATGACTCAGCAGTTAAGATCACTGGCTACTCTTGCAGAGGACTCGGGTTTGATTCCCAGTACCCAAATGGCGGCTACAAACCGTCCTTAATTCCAGTTCCAGAGGATCCGACACCCTCTTCTGATCTCCACAGGCATTGCATGACATGGGTGCACTTACATACATGCAGGGACTGCACTCATACACAAAAAATAAAAATAATAAAATATTTTAAAAGAAAATGTAGCTTGATAAGATAGTCACACTTAATGTCAGTATCTGGAGATGCTGGTCAGGAAACATTTTCACTGTTTATCTTACTAATTTACATGGATTTAAAAAACCATATGCAGTGGGACATGGTGCACACCTTTAATCCCTTCTCTGAAGAGGCTGAGGCAGGTGGATCTCTGTGAGTTCTAGGCCAGGGCTGCTGGGTGGGACCCTGTCTCAAACAAGCAGATGAAAAAACAGGTCAGGAGAGTCAGTAAATTCACTCTGAGCAGTTCACAGAGCAAAACACTAAGAGGCACACAAATCTTCTGAGCTGCAAGTGTTAGCGAGCTGAATCTCACTGCTTAACAAAGTCCTGCAGAGGGAAAAAGGTTAGTTGCAGGAGTGTCTATACAGTAGACACTGTTTATATAATTTTTTTAAAAAATATTTTATTAGTTTTCTTTTATGTATATGAATATAGTGCCTGCATGCATGTAAGCGCACTGGTGGTGTGCAATGCTCACGGAGGTCAGAAGAGGACATCGGAGTCCCCTGGAACTGGAGCTATAGACAGTTATTGGGTGCTGGGAATCAAACCCAGGTCCTCTACAAGGGCAGCCAGTGCTCTCAGACACTGAGCCAACTCTCTAGCCCTTTTATATCATTTTGTAACATACAAAAAAATCAGTAATTGTTTAGAGTTCTAGAACTCTCATGAGGAGAGTGTTAAAGTCTCAGGAATAAAAGAGTACCAGCTGTGCTTGGAGGAGAGCAGGTATGGAGCGGGACAAGGACTGCAGCTGCCTCGAACGCATGTGACGCAGCTTTCCATTTTCTGCTTGTAATGTTTTGCTGTTTTTGGTATGAACTTAAGGTGTACAGGTGGTGTACACTGATGTACTTGTCTTTAAACTTTTTCTTGGGGGGGTGTCTTTTTGAGACACCAGCTGCAGCTGGCCTGGATTCGCTAATGGAGACCAGGCTGGCCTCAAACTCACAGAGATCTGCCTGCCTCTGCCTCCCAAGTGCTGGGATTAAAGGCGTGCGCCACCATACTCGGCTTTAAACTTTTAAAAAACTTTTTGGGGATTTCATATGAGTTCTGCATTTATATCATTTTCACTCCTGCCTTATCCCCTCCAGCTCTTCCCAGGTCCCCATCTCTCTCTCTCTGTCTCTCTCTGTCTCTCTCTGTCTCTCTCTCTCTCTCTTTCTCACACACACACAATTAAAGAAGAGGTCATATTCTGTTTAATTTAAATGGTGGGTACTGTATGATAGTTATGTGGTTTTTTTTTTTAAGTTTGTAAAGAGCCAGTGGATAGCATATGTACTTGTGTGATCATGTGCACTGTTTTTTCATGCAGTCAGCTGAGAGCCTTGAAAGACATTTCCTTGAGCAAATGTGCAGTAAGTTGTGCTGGTGAGAAAGGAGGAATTGCTGAAGCCTGCCCCAGTATCCTTTTTATGGAGGCTGGAACCCACCCTGGGGTTTGATATTAGTGCCTGACACCTTTAGTCACATGCCCCCTGGGGCAGTCACTACCCAGCGTAATTAATTACCTCCCCAGACCCCTTTGCTTGCAGGTGTGGCCGATGAGAGTGAAAGTTTCTATGACACAGCTTACTACAGTTTTCTGGTGATTGAAAAAAATTATTTTCAGACTGGGTCTCACTCTGTTGTTCATGCTGGCCTTGAATTCACTACGTAGCTGAGGGTAGCCTTGAACTCATGGTAATCCTTCCCTCTTAGCCTCCCTAATTGTTGGCATTAAAGAAGGCACCACCATGCCTGGCTCTGTGAGTGGAAGTTTCTAGGTGAGGCCCCTAGCAAGGGGGACAGTCTTGGTTGGCGTCCGAGGGCTGTCCATCCGGCTCTTGTCATCCCGGTTCAACAGATACCTGGGGCTTGAGCAGTTGTCCTTCCAGTGTGAAGAAAGCTGTCCAGTGAGGCTGAGCGAGCAGGGATGTGCACAGGGAACCTGCAGCCGTGAGGGTACCTGGAAGCCACCATGTCAGCCTGGACTACCTTCTCATAACTGGATCTGCTGTCAGATCAGAAGCCTGGCTTCTCCACCTGGGCGAAGCTTCTGTCCCTGTATTCTTTTTTTTTTTTTTTTTTTTTTTTTTTTTTTAATTTATTATTTTTATTTATTTATTTTTTTGGTGTTTTTGAGACAGGGTCTCCCTGTAGCCCCAGCTGTCCTGGAACTCACTATGTAGACCAGGCTGGCCTTGAACTCAGAGATCCGCCTGCCTCTGCCTCCCGAGTGTTGGGATTAAAGGCGTGTGCCACCACACCCAGCCCTATTATTTTTATTTTATGTGTATGCGTTTATTGCCTACATGTAGGTAAGTGCACCTGTGTTGTGCAGTGCCCGAGGAGGACAGACGAGACTGTCAGATCCCCTGGAACTGGGTTTCAGATAGTTGTTAGCTGCCATGTTGGTGCTGGGATTCGAACCCAGGTCTTCTACAAGAACAGTTAGTGTTCTTCACTGCTGAGCCATCTCTCAAGCCCCTGCCCGTATACTCTTAGCATATTTTTTGACCCCACCTGTACTTGATGTTCAACTAAAGTCTTTGTTAGTGTGTGTGTGTGTGTGTGTGTGTGTGTGTGTGTGTGTGTGTGGTGGGTATGTTAGGGTACACGCCATGGCTTACGTGTGGAGATCAGAGGATTCTCTCATTCCACTTCTGGATTTCTGGGGCTCAAACTCAGGTTGCCAAGTGCCTTTACCTGCCTACCTGTCAGGCCCCTAATATCTTTCAGAGGTTGGTGGGCTTTTCTTTAAAGAGCCAAAAAGTAAATAGCTTAGGCCTGTGACCCAGCAGGCAGAATTAGAAGATTAAGGTGACACTGATATTGCCATTTAGACATAATCATTAGGTATGATAGTCCATTCCTTAATCCCAGCAGTAGGGAGGCGGAGGCAGGAAGATGAGGAATTTAATGTCACCCTCAGCTACATAATGAGTTTGAGGTCAACCTGGGCTACATGAAAACTTAAACAAACAAACCAAAGGAAAAAAAAAGAATCAGCCAGCAGCTCCTGTTTTGAGTCCTGGTTCTTCCCGTGCTGGCTGTTCTGTCTCCTAGGCAGGCCCCTTCTCTCACTGAGGAGTGTTGACATACCCTCAGTTTCTCTGAGACTGTATCGGGGCACAGTTGGCACCCACTGTGCCTCCTCCCTCCACACTGCCCACTGTCCTCCCTGCTGTTCTCAGTGGCTTGTTTGGCAGTTTGTGTGTCTTAACAGTCATCCCCAGAAGCTGTCCCAGTGAGTCCCCTCCAACCTGCTTCTCCCGCAGCCTCTCCCTTCAGTAAACAGCATTGCCAGGTCTATTTCTCATTCCAGGTCCAGCAAAGCCTGGACTTCCAGCCTAGGTTCAGCCCAACATCTACACCTGCTCTTGTGCTAGTGGGACTTAGGTCTGCCGTAGGGGTCTCCTGCCTCTTCTGTCTCCCTGCATTCCTTTGCTTGTTTGCAGCAGTGGCTTTCCAGACTCGGGTCTGATCCTGTCAGTCTACTTCAGGCCCTCTAGTAGCTCCCCTTTCTGGCAGATTAGTAGACTCTGAAGTGGCCCAAAGGTCCTTTGTGCCATCACTGTGAGAACACTTGTCCGTCTTTCAGGTGTGTTGGAGCTGGCTGTCCCTGTAGGCAGGTCCCACTCTGACCTCAGTGCCTTTGCTCTGGTCATTGCTACCCTCAGGATGCAGGTGGCTCTTCAGATGGTGTTCCCTCAGCTCTTTAGTTTTCTGCTCAAGTTGCTGTCACGAGTGTGTCCACACCTATTCATGTGTGCCCTGCCCACTGTGGAGCACAGGCAGTCTCAGACCTCCGGAAGTGTTGGCTTATGGATTATATCCCTGCTGAGCCTGCTCTGCCCACGCCTGTCTTCCTGGTACTACTTGTGGGGTAACCTGCAGTGGAGTAACAGCCACATGTATCAGGTTGGAGTGCTAGGCCCTCCACTAGCTGGTTGGAGATGGTGCTGTATTGCCCTCCCTGGTAGCCTGTCTGCTACTCCATGCAAGCCTCCGCCGTGTTGGCCCCAGAGCTGTGCTGAACATCCTGCTGGTCTACCCTGAGCCTCAGATGGCTCTCCACTCCTTTTTTTATTTTTTATTTTTATTTTATGTGTATGAGTCTACTGCCTGCATGCGAGTGTACCTGTGTCGTGCATTGCCGTGGAGGTCAGAAGAGGGCTTCGGATTCCCCTGGCACTGGAGTTAAGGACGGTTCGTAGCCACCATGTGGGTGCTGGGAATCCAACCTGGGTCCTCTGCAAGAGCTGTCAGTGTTCTTAACCGCTGAGCCGTCTCTCCAGCCCCTCTCCGCTCCTTTTGAGCCTTGTTCCGGCTGCCCTTGTATTCTCCCCTGGGATGGTGCTATTTAGGGGTTCCTGTGGGTACAGCACTGGTTCTCTGGAGAGAAGGGCATGTTTGTGTGTGTTGGGGGGGGTGGGGGCTTGTGGCTTCAAGGCAGTGCTGAAGGCAAGGCCCATGGGTACCCTTGATGGTATTTAGTGAATCAGTTGCTCTCACTGTCTTCTTATCCTTCTTGTGGGATAATCCTGCAACAGTTTAGTTATGGCATGTGGCTTTTACTCCTTTGATTGTAGATACCTGTCACACGTTTTGACAGAAGTCAATGAGTTTTTAGGTTTTTTTTGGTCTTTTTGAGACAGGGTCCCCCTGTAGCCCCAGCTGGCCTGGAACTCACTATGTAGACCAGGCTGGCCTTGAACTCACAGAGATCCACCTGCCTCTGCCTCCCGAGTGCTGGGATTAAAGGCACCATGCCTGGAGAGTTTTTAGTTTTTGAGTGAACCAACGGGCAGTTTTTGTTGTTTCAGTTTTGGGGTGCAAGGGATGGAACACAGGACGTTGTGCATACTTGATGAGTGCTCTACCACTGAGCTACATCCCGGTCTAATGTGTGTAATTTAAAAGATACTGTCATGAATAAGTTCAGTCAGCATGGTGGGCACACAGTGCAGAGTTAAAGATCTATGAGCCAGAATTAAGATGCAATCATTTTGATGTTTCTGGTGAATCTTTTGAAATTATTGTTCCTTACCATGCACTTTTAGATATTAGAGTTGTAGATTTGTCAAAAAACCTGCTATCATCATGGGATGAAGTGATCCTCATTGCAGATGAGCTCAGAGACTTGGAGACCCTCTCTCTCAGGTATGGACCCTGCATTGCCCCTGTGACAGTGAATGGAGTAAGGCTGCCCCTGGCAGATAGTTTATTCTAGGCAGATCTGGCCACCTGGGATTTGCTTCAGATTCATCTTAGGGCACATTTATGAGTAGTCTTGAAATGGCTATGGGAGGTGCATGAATGAGGAGTGTGTGTGTGTTCTCATCAGATTGCGGTGGTGGGGGTTGGGGGGGATCCTGATGCTTGTAAGCTTCACCATGAAAGACAGGATGTTGCAGGGAAGAGTGTGTGTGTGTGTCAGAGAGAGACAGAGAGGCAATAGTACTAAAAGTGCTTGTTTATATGACGTTTTCTAGTGTTTAATTCTTTAGGAATATGTAGTTGCGTTGGGATACTGCTTATTTTGATAAAGGATTTTCACTTTTCTACCTATTTGACTAATATGCCATTTCCCCAGGCCTTCCTGAATATTTGATTAGTTTTAATCTCCCAGAGCTCGGTCAGGCCTCTTTTTCTTTATATTTTTTTTGGTAGTGCTGGGGACCGAGCCCAGTTCTTTGTGCATACTACACAAACTTTGTACCACTGAACCCTACATCCTAGCCCTTCCCCTTCCTTTCTGACCACTTTATGTATACAGGTGAGCTGTACCTGGCCAAGGCAGGTAGAGCAGGCAGTGAGGCCTCAACAGGTTGTGGCTTCAGGTGGAGTAAATGGGTATAATTTGACCCTTGGTGTTTCCTCTTCTAGAAACGTGGGAGCCACAAGCCAAGTTTGCATGTCAGCTACCACGCAGTAACTAGGTAGCTTCCACTTTGAGGGTTTATTTGCTGTTTGTTTTTTTGAGACAGGGCCTAAATATGTACCCCTGGCTGGCCTGGAACATGCTATGTAGACCAGTCTGGCCTCGGACTCAGAGATCTGCTTGCCTCTGCCTCCCTAGTGCTGGGAGAAAAGGCCTGTAGCACTGCATCCAGCCATTTTTGTTTTTTGAGACAGGGTTTCATGTGTGCCAGCTGGCTTCACACTTGCTGTTCAGCTGAGGAGGATCTTGAACTCCCACTCCTCCTGCCTCTACCCACCTGTTGGGGGACCCTGCTGCTAAAGTTGCAGTCCACCATGTCTGTATAGCTCTACAGAGCTCAGTGCTGTATGGAGGACTCCCTTTCTCAGTGGGGGCTCCCTGCTCTCTGCCTGACCTTATCTAGAAAGTGCCTCCAAGCACGGATGCCTGGCCTTATGTGGAACATGACCTTTGGCATAGTTACCTGCAATAAAACTGCCCCCAGGTTTTTCTATATGATAATTAGGCATTGCCCTATAGCCAGATGGTAGGGTCCCCCTGCCACATGTAAACAAAGCATACTATGAACACCTATCAGCTGAAGCTTTGGCTGTTGTCTTCATCCTATATTTTTCCCTGACCCCTCACTGAAACCAACTTCCGGAAGGTCTTTTCCGTCGCGCTCATTGGCCGTCCTGACCCCGTTCGTTGCCTCTGCTCCCTTTGTTTTCGTGGGTCGGTGGCCAATGGCCCACGAGGGGTGGGAGAGACCCACACCCACCAAGTGTTAGAATTACTGGTGTGTACCACATACCCAATTTCGTTTATTTTTTGATAGGAAATCTGTCTCTCCCCTCTTCCCCTCTGTCTCCCCCGCCAGTATAGCTCAGTACAAGAGAACCCCCCCGCCCCCAGCAGGCCACTGTGAGTGCCAGGGTTCAAGACTCCATACAAGCTGGGCAGGGTTTCTTGTACTGAGCTATATTGGTAGCCCTAGGATTTCACTCTAGGATTGAAACAAGCCAAAGCATTGGGGTGAATCCTGTTGTTGCTGTCAGTGGCTGTCTGCCCGGTCTGCCGGGTCTGTCGGAGGAAGCACTTAATGTCCTCTTTCCATCACAGTGAAAACAAACTGCAGTTCCCCTTGGACTCATTGACTCCACCTGGAACATTTTCTACACTGAAGATTTTAGTCCTGGACAAAACAGGAATAACGTGGGCTGAGGTAATCATACTGCCTCTTTGCATAGTAAGAATTTAAAGTTTTACTTTAATAGGAAATTGAAGCACAGTTGGGGCTTCTTTCAATCATCCTATTATGATTATGAAAGGAGTTAAAGAAAAGCCTCATGAATATGTAGGACTCTAGGAATCTGTTCTTTCTCTGGAGTCTTGAACCCTGGCACTCACAGTGGCCTGCAGGAAATGTGCTGAGTTTTAGAAGCTGTTACTAGCTTCCCCAGGTTCCTGAGATAGTCTAGGGCAGGGACATAGTGTACAGAGTCTCACCCTCCCCATCCAGTCCCTGACCCTCACTACTCCTGAAGTGATGGGCTCATGAATGGTCGCAGTGGCATTTGGCACATACTTCTGAGAGGATCTTGTTCCATTTCTTCTGGTGCATATGGAACCTCAGGACAGAAAGGCACTTAGCAGTTGGGAGCGGGGGATGCACTGTGGCTCAAGGGTTAGGACATTGAGAAGTGATGAGGAGATACCTGTCTGGTCAGTATACTATTTACATGCCAGAGTGACCTTAGCACTGGGCATGAGTACACATCTGTCTCAGGCCCAGCCTGCTAGCAGATGGTCTGAGTGTCCACTGGCATCTAAGCTGCTTTTGTGAGCCTTTCTTAAGCTGGGTGCTGACTTGGCCTGCCAGGGTCACAGTGCCAGAAGCATGTCCATGGCACCCTGCCTGCTGGCTGCAATGTGTTCACAGGGCAAGTACTTCTAAAGCTCTATCTAAAGGGACTTCCTGATGTGCGGAGGCAGACGGTGCTGGCAGAGGCTTTGTGACCCTGAGTTGATTTCCTTTCCAGGTGCTCCACTGTGCCTCTGGGTGGCCAGTCCTTGAGGAGCTCTACCTCCGGTCTAACAGTATCTCCATTTCAGAGAGGTAATAGCCTTCATCCCACGCTTCTGTTACCATTCAGTTATTCTGAGTAGCCTCAGCTAGGTCTATCTAACATTAGCTTTTAGGAGGATGTGCAGGTGGGGAATTAGAGTAGTGCTAGTTACTGTATTGCAGATTGGAATATCAACAGAAACTATTCATTTCGAAAAAAGGAAACTCATCAAAGACACTTAAATATTTTTTAATTTTATTGGTTTTGCATTATATATATATATATATATATAGACAAAGTCTCTCTGTAGCCCCAGCTGCCTGTAACTATGTAGACCAGGCTGGCCTCAAGAATCTCACAGAGATCCACCTGCCGTTGCCTCCCAAGTGCTGCATAAATAAATTTGATTCTGATTCTCAATGGAAGTTCTATAGGACATACTGAGTACTTTTTTTTTTTTTTTCTGTTCTGTGCTAAGGAGTAAATACTGGATTTTAGCCAGGTTTGGCAACACATGCCTGTACTTTCTGCTACTTGGGAGGCTAAAGTAAAGCAGAAGCATCAGAAGTTCAAGACCAGCCCAGGCAACTTAGTGAGACTGTCTTAAAAAACAAGGCTGGGGGATATAGCTCAGTGGTAGAAAGGACTCATCTAGCATATGCAGGGTCCTGGGCTCTTTGGGGGGGGCAGTAATGATTTTTATTTTTTGGCTTGTTTTTAAAAAAAGGACCTTTGGGGTTCTCTCTACCGTGGGTTCCAGAGACTGAACTCAGGTCATCAGGCTTATGAGTCAGGCTTCTACAGCAAGTGCTCTTACTAAGCTGTGTAGCCAAGGATGACCTTGAACTGGTTTGCCTTCACCTTCCCAAGTTCCAGAATTACAGGTGTGGGCGGTTATTTTTGCAATATCTACTTAAGGTCACTGTACCACCATGTGTATGTTGTTGCCTCACCTCCCTCTTAGATTTTATTTATTGAGAGAAAGAGACAGATAATAGCAACAGAGAACACATGTACGTGGAGATCAGAACAACTTCTGGGAGTTTGTTCTCTCCTTCCTCCATGTGGGTCTAGGATCAAACTCAGGACAGCATACTTGGTGGCAAGTACCTTTACTCTCTGAGCCATCTTACCTGACCATCATCTCCCTTTTTGATAATATCATTAAATTATTATGTAAAAGAAAGCCAAGGATGGGAAAATCATGGGCAGAGTTGGTTCAGACTATTAAGATTATATTGTTTAGAATAGTTTCATTCTTTGATGCAAATGCTGGGATTTTTCTCATTAAACTTTTTATTTTGAGATAATTACAGAGTCCCATTTAAAAGAAATAACACACAGATCACCCGTCCTCATTGTCCAGTATCTCCCATCAGTAACAAGGTCAAAATCATGGGTCTGCAGTGTCAGCCAGGGATCTTTCACTGCACAGCCCCTCAGGTGGCCCTTTTGTGGGCCAGATTCACTCACCTTCCACCCCAGTCCCTTGTAAATCAGGTACTTCTGTTTTAAGCCTCCATCTTTGAAAACAAGAGATTAATCTATGCTGAAAATTTTTCTTTCCATACAGGCCAACTGATGTTCTGCAGATGGTCAGGTTACTAGACCTTTCCTCCAACCCATCAATTGCCGAAAACCAGCTGTATCTGATAGCTTATCTGCCCAGGTAATCTGCTCCTAAAGTGTGCCTATTACAGACCTACACATTTAATGATAATAATAATGCATAGGCCACAAATATGTTTTGAACAGATACAGTAATGTAGTTTTTTTTTTTTGTCTATTTGAGACAGGGTCTCCCTGTAGCCCCAACTGGCCTGGAACTTGCTATGTACCAGGATGGCCTCAAACTCCTAAAGATCCATCTGCCTCTGCCTCCCTAGTGTTGGGAATAAAGGCATGTGCCACCATACCCTGCAGAGTAATGCATTCTTTTTTCTTTTTTCCTTTCATTATTTTTATTTTATGTGTATGTGTATATTACCTACACGTAGGTAAGTGCACCCGTGTTGTGCAATGCCCACGGAGGACAGAAAAGACTATTGGATCTCCTGGAACTGGAGTTACGGACAGGTGTTAGCTGCCATGTGGGTGCTGGGATTCGAATCCCAGTCTTCTGCAAGAACAATGTTCTTAACCACTGAGCTTTCTCTCCAGCCCATGTGTTCTTAAACTTAACAGTTCTCTTTGGGGAATTTTCACTTGAACTCACTGGAGAATGTACTGGGCCCCTTGTACTATGTGGACTGTGTACTGGATAATCTGCAGAATGTGGAACTTGGTCTTAGTGATGACACTCAAGTCTCCATTTGTTAAACTGGGGCAGTGAGACCATGTCCTACTCAGCACCTGGCATGACAGTAGGCACCCCAGAATATTAGAGGGCTGTGGGAGCATAAAGCACAGAGTGAGGCATACTTCTGTCTGTCCTAAACTGGACCCTGTGTTTCTAGATTACATTTTACAACAGGAACCAAACCCAGGGTGTAGGAAAGAACTTCCCAGTCTAGTCGATAGCCCAGAGCACTTTATACTGTCTTGTGTAGTGAAACTGAACATTTAAAATTTCAGACTAGAGCAGCTAATCCTCTCTGATGTTGGACTTTCTTCTATGCATTTTCCGGATGCTAAGACTGGTATGTAAGGTGGGTGAAGTCCCCTGCCCTGTGTTAGCTGTGCCTTCCACTTCTACTCTGCATGCCGTTTTTTTGTTGTTGTAGGGTGCAAAACATCAATGTTCCCGTCCTTGCAGTACCTCATAGTGAATGATAACCGGATATCAGATGTAAGAGCTGCTTCGCTGTACAGGGCACTGTCGCTTGTCTCCACTCCTGTTTGGTGTTTGAAGTTTCCTTCTTCAGTCATAAAGTTAAACCAAAAGCAAAACGCTTCCTCAGAGTAAAACTCCTCAAAAGTCAAATGTATTACGATTCCTTTTACTCAGGCAGAAGCAGGCGGCCAGTAGGTTTCAGTGGTCTACCATGTAGTAGAAGCCTCTTCCTTATATGGGTACTGGGTGGGCCAATCAGAGCTGGGGACTTTGGTTTTTGTTGCAGGGCCAAATCATCTGAAAAGTGGCCCAATCTGTTGCTTTTCTTTACTCCTCTGTCGTGTCAGTGGTCCTTTATCAACGAGTTAGACAAGTTACAGAGCCTGCAGGCTCTGTCTTGCTCCAGAAACCCCCTGACCGAAGGAGACAAAGCAGAGACCACTCGGCAGATCATCATTGCCAAGATAAGTCAGCTGAAGACTCTGAATAGGTGTCAGGTGAGTCCTGGGGTCCGAACCTCAATAGTTTCTTACTAGAGAGGACGTCTCATTATGACCTCTGCTGGCTTCAACTCTGGACTCAGTGTCCTTCACGTAGACCACCTGCCAAGCAGAGGCTATCGGCACAACATGGTGCCAGACTTCAGAATCCTTTTGCAGACTAGAAAATAAATGATTGGAAACTAAAAGGAAATTACCTTTGGATATCATAGAGTGATGAGATGGCAGTGAAACATGATCCAGGTGAGTTGGGCTAAGTGGGCTCCTTTCCTGACTTACTGGGAGAGGACTGCACTTAGCCCAGTGACACTCTGCTGCCTGACCACTGGCGGACATCTGGGTGACGAGTGCTGGGTACTCTCCTCTGCAGCAAAGACAGAAGGAACACAAGCCCAGAGCATGCTCCTGCTGCTGCTGCTGTCAGCTGCTCCTCCCAGGAGGGGCCTGCCAAGCCTGCATGCTCAGTAGTGCCTGGGAGGAAGCCAGTTCTCCCCCAGTGGGGTGATGCCAGGTATCTAGTGCAGATAGTCTCAAGAACAAAATTATAAAACTGGCATTACATTTAAAAACTACGGTTATGGGGCTGGAGAGTTGGCTCAGCAGTTAAGAGCACTGACTGCTCTTGCAGAGGACCCAGGGTTCGATTCCCAGCACCTACATGGTGGCTGTAAACCGTCTTTAACTCCAGTTCCAGGGGAATCTGAAGCCCTCTTCTGTCCTCCACGGCATTGCACGACATGGGTGCACTCATATACATGCAGACAATACGCTCGTACACATAAAATTAAAAAAATAATAATAAAAAAATATTTTAAAAAAACCCAAAAAACTTACATATGTATGGATGTGGGTGTGTGTGCCATGGTGAGCCATTGAGGCAGGATGGCTTGTAGTAGTCTTCCATGTGGTTCCTAGGGAGCAAACTCAGTCATCAGGCTTGGTGGCAAGGGCTTTACCCACTGAGCCTTCTTGTTGATCCTGTTTTAAGTTCTAGAGAAAAACATTCAAGTTCTTGAGAATTTAAATAGGTTTTCAGGGTTATGTAGTGACTCTAGGCTTTTTTAACTTAAAATTCAAACTTCTGAATTTTGTTTTTGGGACAGGCTGTAGCCCAGGCTGACCTTGAACTCAGTGCAGTTCTGTCTCAAGCCTTCTAAGAGCTGGTTACTGGCGGGAGCCAACACACTTGGCTTAGAATTGTTTTTGAATAAACTGTCGAGTTCTCTGAGTTAGAAAAGGAAGGTGGACAGTGTAATGACGTCATTTCTCTTAATTCAGTTATTCTCTGTGCCTGGGCAGCAGAGGAAAGGGCAGGGCAAAAAACATGAGCAACTCACTATGTAGACCAGGCTGGCCTTGAACTCAGAGATCTACTTGCCTCTGCCTCCTGAGTGCTGGGATTAAAGTCATGTGCCACCACACCTGGCTATGAGCAACTCTTTAGGTAAATGCTTTAAGATGTGTTTCTGTTTCACATTAACATAGATTCTTCCAGAGGAACGGTATGGAGCTGAGCTTGATTACCGAAAAACATTTGGAAATGAGTGGAAGGCGGCCGGTGGACATCAGGATCCAGACAAAAACAGGCCAAGTGCAGAGTTTCTCGCAGCCCATCCTAGATACCAGCTCCTCTGCCGCAGTACGTCCAGGTAGCCCGTGGGGACTGCAGCTGGAACAGACCTGGTAGTACAGGAGGGCCCAGTGTTCTGTCCTCTCTCCCTGTTGGGGCTGTCTGTCCTTTTTCTGAAGGACTGTGGTGCTTTCCTTGGGCCAGATCAGCGGGTTGAGCAGACACAAACTGGCAGTCTTACTCCCCACAGGAACGCAGGGAGCCTCTGCTGTTCCAGGAGGTAAAAGGTTTACACTTGGAGGGGAGAGTGAGCCTTCTCCAGAGACTTGGTCGTGGGTACAACACCACACGTGAGGCATGGTGGGAGGCGTGACAGGTTATCTCAAGCACTGGCACTTCCTAAAGCTTCCAGGGTAGTTCTAACCACAGCAGGTTCACACAAAGGTGCATAGTTCCTCCAAAGCCTCCATCCCAAGGAAGGGCTTGACCTGTACTATTTGGTACTTGATGTACATGGAGTCCCTTTAACTCTCCAGCTGGCTCCTCAGACTTTGAAGCTAAGGATTCGGGCATCTTTGTCCCCAGTGCACCTTGATCTTGTTTGACTTCATCATTATTCCATGTTTCACTTTTATGCGACTCTCCTTTTTATACGTTTCCTAATGCAAGAAACTCACTGCACAAATGCTTCAGGCTGGAGAAGACAAGGTGCTTCTGTGAATTGCTTTCAAATTACTCCATTAGCTGGCCCAATTTCCTGGCTGCTCTAAGTGAATTCTGAATCACTCAGGGTGGGGAAGGGAAGTTCTAAGTAGTCAGCAGGCACAGTTCAGCTTCTTACTGCTAAGGCCAGAGGATAAAAATCAGATCCTTGGTACATGGAGATATGGTCACCAGTTGGCACAGGAGTGAAGGACAGCAGTCCCTCCTCCTGTGCAGCTCACTTACCGTCTACCTCAGCCCAGACAGTAAATGGAGAATTCCAGAAATCAGAAATTCCTGTTTTCATTTATACACAATTCTGATTGATATGATATCCTGGACTCATGAGAGTCCTGCCCTGTCCCACCCAGGACAGACCTCCCTCTGCCCAGTGTACCATGCTGTGTGCTGCCTACTTTCATTCAGTGATCATCAGAGACCATCAAGTGTCAGTGTTTGTGTCCAAGTAACCCTTATTTCACCCGAAGCCCAGTAGCCAGTGCTACAACTTTCATATGCCAGAGAGGAACTGTAAAGTACAGCACTGAAGTGAAATATGAAAGCACAGAAAGATGCTCCCAAACACAGAGTGAAGTACTACATGTCCCTTTACCACAGTTTATTGTTACACTTGGCCATTCTGTTACTGTTCATCCCCCACTGTGCCTAATTATAAATTAAGTTTTACCATAAGTGTATACTGCTTGAAAAAAAAAAAATAGGGTCTAATACTATCCAAGTTCACATGTGGATGTGTCCCTACAGACAAGGGAGGCCATTGCCCTGTATCCCAGGTGTAGGAGTTGGTCTGCAGAGGTAGGACTGAACATCTGGACTACCTGGCTAAAACGTGAAAGTGTCCTATGACTGTGTCCAGATAGCACCAGGTTTCTCTCAGGACCCTGAGGGGAAAGAAACTGCTTTCCAAGCTGAAAGCAAGTAATGGTTTGAAAGGTTTGAAAGCAGTGGGCTTGCTAATCAGTGCAGGGGTCTCTCCCTCTCTTCGCGGGTCATTGGCCACCGGCCCATGAGGGCAGGGAGAGCAGAAGTGGCGAACAGGGTCAGGACAGACAGCGAGAACTGACGGAAGACCGCCCTTCCGGAGAGACTGGTCACAGGCGCAGTGAAACAGCAGTGATACAGCTCCAGACACAGTGAAAACAGCTCCGTTTAGTCAGTGGGAGAACTAGAGAATTTATAGTGTGGAGGCAGTAGCAAAAGCCTCAGTTGATAGGTGCTCATAGTGTGCTTTATTTACATGTGGCAGTGGGCTCCTATCTTCCAGACTATCAGGCAATGCCTGATTATCATATAGAAAAAACCTGGGGGTAGTTTTTACTCCAGGTAACTATGCCAAAGGTCATGTTTCCAAATAAGGTCAGGCATCCGGCTTGGTGGCACTTTCCAGGTGAGCCAGGAAGAGAGCAGGAGGCCCCCTGCTGAAAAGGGGACTCCTTCCATTTGGCGCCGAGCCCCTTAGGGCTATCCGGACATGGAGAACTGCAACCCTAACAGCAGGGTTTCCCAACAAATCAGTCAGGCCACTGTTGGGACAGTCACAGTGCTCGGCCGTGGAGGAGGTCTCCTAACCACCTAGCAAACAGCTCTGCTGAAGGCTAATCTCAGGTTAACTGGCTGCTGTGCTGGGCTGATTTTGGAAGAAGCTCTACTCACACTGACTAAACATTGTTTCCTTACTGTGGTCTCTGGTTTTTGTTTCCCCCTTTTTATCGCTTTTTAAACAGAATATGGTGCACCTGAAGATGAGGAACTTGAAGTGCCGCAGCCATTCATGCTAAAAAATCAGCTACTAAGTAAGAATCACAGTTCATATAGTTCATTTGTATGAGTCTTAGGTGTGAAGCAGGTCGTGATGGCCTGAAAGGGAGGAAGTGGATCTCTCTTGGGGAAATGCCAAGCTCTCCTGGGTTTTATCCTAAACTTGCCTGGATTATGTGTTGAGTGTTCTTAAATGACCATGCTGTAAACTCATTGGTGTTCTCGTGGGAGGGAGTTGAGTAGTGAACCTGATTGTGATTGAGAATCTTGTGACTTTTCCTACATGCAAACCTGGTAAACTGTCAGGAAAGGAGTATGGTGGAAGGGGAGTGGTAGGAGTGTGGGGCCAGCTGTTTCTGTTTTGAGGCAGGGTCTCGTTATTTAAACTAAGGCTGGCTTGGAACTCCTGATCTTCCTGCTTCAGCCTCCCCAGACCTTGGACTATGAAGGCATTTTTTGGTGTTTTTTGTTTAGTTTTTTGAGACCAGGTCTCACTATATAGCACTAGCTGGCCAGGTACTTTTCTGTGGAGTCCAGGCTGGCCTTGAATTTGTGGCTATCCTTGCAGCCTCTCAAAATGGGATTACAGGTTGGAATTAAAGGCATGTACCACTGGGCCTGGCTTCATGGAAAAGTTGTTTTAATTTACTTTTTTGTATAAGTGTTTTGCCTACCATGCATACATGTGCACCCCATGTGAAATGCCCACGAGGCCCATAAGAGGGTGTCGGATTTCCTGGAGCTGGAGTTAGGGATAGTTGTTAGCTGCTATGTGGGTTCTGGGAACCAAACCTGAGTCCTTTGCAAGAGTAGCCAGTGCTCTTAACCACTGATCTGTCTCTCCAGCCCCACCCCCCCATTTTTTAGAGAGGGTCTCACTGTGTGGCCCTGGCTGGCCCTGAATTCACAGGGATCCACCTGCCTCTATGAAAATACTAATAGGACATTTAAACATCATTAAGATCCATTTATGAAGACTGAGCCAAGTGGTACCAAACAACTGCATCATTTGGCAATCCTGTTGGCGTACACACTGTGCTGGTGCTGGGGATCAAACTGCGGGCCTTGTGCATGCCCAGTATGCTCTACCACTGAGGCCCAGCCACAGTAGTTACCATTTAACTGCTTTCATTTTCTTCTTAAAGCACTGAAGATAAAATACTCCAACCAGCTTGAGCAGAAAGAATTAGAGAAGCAGCTGCCAGGTAAGAACACCCTCTCTCTGCTATGCATGTACCTGGAAGGCACAGCTGGAATCAAAAAGGAAGGTATTTTCAGTAGGTTTTCCATCTAAAACAATGTATGCTAATATGACTCTTCTGCTCCCAAATTTAGGTCTTACATAACTATCAGCTTATCTGGAAAAACTTTATTAAAATTTCAGAGCACCTTCCTCCACTGTCCAGCATGTGATCATGTTCTTAACCAAAAGCCTGAGCACTTGAACGGCTTAGCCCTCAGAGCAGTTATCCCCAGGCCTATGTGCTGAACCCCAGACTTGCTCTCAGGGCTTCTTGTCTAGGGAGATGGCTGCCCAATCAGGAGAGAATTCTCAATGCAATAGTGTTCTTTGGGGAGGAAAAATTACTCTAGAATTTTTTTTTGAGACAGGGTCTCCCTGTAGCCCTTCCTGGCCTGGAACTCACTATGTAGACCAGGCTGGCCTTGAACTCACAGAGATCCGCCTGCCTCTGCCTCCTGAGCGCTGGGACTAAAGTCTTGTGCCACCAGGCCAGGCTTAATTAGTTTTAATAGGAAAATGATTTGGCTCAACAAGTTGGATCAACATAGTTGACCTTCAAACTTCACTCCAAAGAAGAATTAGTATGCCAAGACTGAATTCTCAAGATTGATTTGACTCACAGCTGAATGCTGAAGTACAGACATGTTGAAGCTGGTGCACTTGAAGAAATTAGTCTGAATGTCTCCAATAAATACATCTCCCTATTTGCCCATCAGTGTAGTAAATTCACATTGATTTTCAATTATTCTCCATCAGGTAAGACAAGCTTACCATGATATTGAATATGGAAGGCCTGGGGTACATTTAGAAGTACTTTTCTGAATAACCGCTTTGTACTAACCTATTATAGTCTCCATATTTATTTATTAGAATCTAATTTATTCCTGTGGTATGTAATTTTACTAGTATATAATGATGAAAATTAACAGTGTATATTAGTTATTTTTACAAAATACTCAACCAAAGCAACTTAAGGAAGCCTTAATTTTGGCTCATGGTTTGAAGAGAGTCCTTCGTGGCAGCTGGTCACAGTACAGCCACATGCGGGAAGCAGAGACGCTGGTGGTCAGCTCATCTTCCCCTTTTTTCTTTTTTTAAACATAAAAATAATTTTATGTGCATGAGTGTACTGCCTGCATGTATGTAAGTGCCCCATGTCATGCAATGCCCAAGGAAGTCAGAAGATGTCAGATCTCCTGCAGCTGGAGTTGTGTATGGTTGTTAGCTGCCAGGTGGGTGCTGAGAACTAAACCCAGGTCCTTAACAAGAGCATTCAGTACTCTTAACCACTGAGCCATCTCTCCAGCCCATTTTCTCCTCCTTAATCAGCACATTCCTGTCTAGAAACACTCTTTTAAGAAAATTCTAATACACAGATGACATCAGGCATGGTCATGCTGTAGACGTGGGTCATAAACAAGAAAACGCTAGTTTTTATTCTAAAATAGATAACATTTATTACAAGTTGCATAAAAACACAGCTTTTACAAAAATGATTTTTTATAGAAAAATATTGAACTACATTGTGATATTTGTGGGAACACCACACTACTGCTGTTCCTCCAGCTAAAGCTTTAAAGAAACTATAATTTTCTTAATCAAAATACCCACTGTTTACCCGTCTTTGGAAAGAAGTCTGTATGTGTTCTGAACAGATGAAAGCATTTGCTTGTTTGAGTTACATTCCCATGCCTGGCAGTCACATGTGTGAGACAATGCACAGCGCAGTGGTGACAAGACAGCAGTTCTGGGAAGGCCTTGTTAACACCTTCCCTCTCCACAGAGGCTGATAGGTGTCCTCAGGCCCCATTCCAGGGCTCCTTCTGCAATCCATCAGGAAGCCCAACCAAAGGACTACATTTATTCTTCCTTGGTGAGATTATTCCTAAATTCACTAGATTAAGGAAGAAATAGTAAACACTACTGAAATGGTATGAAAACTCATTGTCAAGGCCACTTGGGTCAAACATTGGCTCCAGTTCCCAGTTTCCCAAATGAATCAAGTGGTAGAATGGACTCAAGCCTTCCTTAAAGTATCTAGGGTAAACTGATGCTACAAATGGACAGAACAGCTGTCATGGCTGCTTCCCCTGAGCTTTTTACAGGTAGGTGTCATTGAGAGAAATGATGGGTTTTCTTTTTTGATAGATTCCATGACAGTTCAAAAGGTGAAGGGATTGCTGTCACGTCTTCTCAAAGTTCCTGTGTCAGAACTTCTGTTGTCCTATGAAAGCCCCAAGGTAAGTTGCTGAGCAAAACAGAGTCGAGCCTAGTCCATACAACAGTAAGATAGGCATTGAAATGACTCCATCACACGCACCATTAGGCCGTCTTAATCACTCCATCCTTTGTTCTGATTGTAGATGCCGGGCAGAGAAATTGAACTAGAAAATGACCTACAGTCCTTACAGTTTTATTCTGTGGAAAATGGAGATTGTCTACTAGTGCGATGGTAACAACCCAACTGATAACATTTAGGACTAGACTGCTTATCATGACTGGGATTACCAGAAACAAGTGATTTACTGGGACAGTGCTAATGTTTGAGGCTTTACAACTTGCCCTAACAAAAGATATATGTTTTGTTGGGAAGAAAAAATTTCTAGGTTGTATACTGATAGCTTTAATAAAGGTTTTGATTACTAGTGACTTTTCTGATCTTTTCATTTTTATAGCTTACCACTGCATTTCATTATGTGAGGACTTAAACTAGCTCGTCTAAATCTGAATACAGTGAATGTCTGCCATAAGACTAGTTTTAATGGAATTCTCTATTATACTATTTTAAAAGATTGCTACAGTGATTTGGTTGGTCATTCTGAGAAAGATATACACTATTTTTAGAGTACTTAAATTAATCACATGCTTTTTCCTACACTTATACCTAAACTGTGCCTATCTTCCACAGAAGATTACCAGCTCTAATTCAAACTTATTTATATTAGGTAAACATTAGACAATGATAGGCAGAAAGCGAAATTCTTTTCAAGCATCAACAACTTAGAATATCCTTCGCTAAGTCACTAAAACCCTGAGAATATTCACTTTTATTCACAAAAATGTAGTGTTTAATAAGAGTACTAACCTTCAGGACTTATGTTAAATGGCAAAAGAAAACATGGTATTAGTGTACTGTGTAAATAAACATCCTTAAAACAAGATTTCAAACTGAGGGTTATTGATTCCTTTTCAAGGTCAAGTTGCCCATTTCAGAAAGTCAAACTTTGGTATATGTGCTCACTGTCCACGAAGTGACCACACAGCATCTTTGTAAGTTCTTTTTGGCCTATATTTCTTCTGATTTTATTCGATTAAGTTATTCTGATTAAGTAATCCTGGTTAAGATTCAAACGGAATTACTATTAATAATTTCTGAACTAGGCCAGGTTTGACCAAAAATGGTAACAATGAATTACTGATTAGTAACAGTGCACCACAACTTAAAAATAGTTTCATTTTCTAAAATAATTTGGTATTAAA